GAACTATTTGCGATGATGCAGCATAAGTAATTAAAATGTGGTTAAGACCTATAGCAAAGTGGTCTACCAAAGTAATCGTTAACGGTCTCTCTGTTGGTGAGTGTTACGCAGTAAACTCCAGATAATAATTTGCAGTATGCATAATCGTGAATAAAAGTAAATCTATTTGGTTGCCTAAAGTGCGTCGTGTGATGAAATTGTTTTCCTATCGGTAAATAAATGAAGTATGCAAATGCACCTAGCTGTAGCATGCGCATAGTAAAGGCTGACTTAAATAAGAGTACCTGTAAAATCGTCGGTATGAACACAAATACATGCATGCATGCATTTGTGAATTTCTTGATGGTGATTGTCCAAATTCAATCGTGCTGAAAAATGCTATTTTCATGATGCTACAATCTAAAAGTGGAAAGTCTTGGATGGTATGAAGATATTTGCACATCTCCATGTTGCGAATAGCATCTCAAGCAAACATTGTACATTATTCCCGATGGTACACGATAGGGTTTGACACTCTTTTGCAATACTTGTGGTTCTTTATCGCAAAGTGGAGAAAGAGTTAAGTAACTTATCACTTCTAACCAAACCTATGCTAAATCAAATCGAAGAAATGAAACGACAATTTTAATAGTATTTTTCGTATATAAGTGGTTTCGAGACTATTAGTTCTTCCTTGAAATTCACATTTGCCTTGTGATACAAGGGCACTCGTGGCAATGTGGTCGAATGGTTAACGTATCAAGTTCACATGCTGAACTGTCACGGTTCGACTCACGCTGGGGGTGTTGATAAGACCTGGACGAGGTCGAAACTGGAGTCCACCCTGGATGAAAACAACTTTTGGGAAAGCAAGGCTCTGTGAAATTCAATGGAAACATCATTGTGGGAAAATTCTACTACCAGTCTTTCATCACTTAAAACGAAATACGGTGAATACATCTCATATAAAGAAGAAGAATAAAGTGATATTACAGTATTAGTTAGCATGAGGTTATCATTAGAATAAAGTCAATTTCTGCAGATTAAAGTTCAACAATTTATTATATAAAGTGAAGGAAGCTGCTTCGAGTATAGCGTAGGCTTAAGGGTCGCAGTATAGTCAAGAATGAGCAGGTATTTTCCTTATATTCTTGCACTTTCAAAAGAAATTGAAATCAGCCCAACAATTACTTATCAGAAGATTCACTGAAACCTGGCTGCTGTTCATAGAATCTCTTAATGAGCGTAGCTTTCCTTTATGATTCTTACTTACTGAAACGAATAAAAATCTCTTTGCCACGGACAACCCAGTGCTGTATCAGTAATTAAACTGAAATTGTAGGCAAAGTGCCGGATTAACAGGTTAAATATTAATGTTTTGTATTATGAATGAGCAATAATAAAATTGAAGGTATGAAGACCAAGATTGTGTGGCATAGCAAGTCATAGACTTGGTATTAGGGATAGAAACAAGATAGACGCTATTTGGCTGACAGTAGGCCTGTTTTATCAGAGACGTGGTCTATGAAGCAAAGGCTTTAGCCTCAAGGTAGTCTCCCAGAGGCAGAATATGGGAAATAACGCCTCGAGTAGCACAGATGGAGTGGCAGGGGTCTAGTGAACTACCTGAACGAAGGAGATAGCAGATGATTCATGCTGGACAAGAGGGAGATTCTGATAAGACCTATGGAAGGAGGACTGCGTAACAATATGGCAGATTCTGATCAACAATCCAAGCACAAGGGTAAAGGAGGGTGAAAAAGCCAGTGTGGAGTATGTGGAGTTATCATGAAAGCAAGTAGAAAATTGTGATAGTGAAGGCGTGGTACGAGGATATAGGATTGGTGATTAGCCCAGGGCGGAAGGAGAGATATAACGATTGTTTAGCAGATAATTGGTCAAAGGATCAGCTTCACTTGTCTCTTTGACGAGTTGTAGTGTGGTGCTAAGATTGGCAGGACTCACTGACGATGCCGACTACGATGCTGGTGAAACGCCTGGGAATGTACCACGTCCACGGTCCGACTTTGGAAATTATCATGCATACAATGGACTCCAGACTAGGTGCGTTCTTCTAAGTCTTCCTACCAATATGACAAAGTTGCGAAAACAAGGTCAAACAGCTTCTAATAATCAAATTGCTGTGAGATTAAGATAGGGGGAAATATGCTTGCCCTAAATTTCGTTAAGGACTATCTACCGTGTATTGATAGCTGAGCCGAGGACAATAAACGAAAGAAGCATATTGTGTTAACAATCGAAATCATCAGAATCTATATTTAAAGTATAATTTTAGCAGATAAAAGAGGGAGAAAAAGCTACTGTACCTAATAATGCTCATCAAAATTAGAATTATTAATGCAATATTAGGTTATAGAAGGATTATAGTATATGTAGAATGAAATTCTTTGAATAAGCAGAATAGCGGAGGCTGACTGAAGGTGGATGGAACAATAAGGATCTATATAAGAATTCTTTGTGGACAGATAAACGAGTTGGGATAATTTTAGAAGTAGTATAAACATTAATAACTTACAGCCTAACGTGCAACACTTTTGAGCTGCCTCGAGGAACTCTGAACGTGGAAATTTTTGAAGTAGACAGAGGAGGAGAGTTTGGATCACCGTCTGTGGTTGGATTGAGTCTGGATTGACGCTGAGAAACTCGACGCCGAAGACCCTCTTCAGCAGCGACTACGTTATTCTCTGCCGAGGAAGGCCAGCGAACCTGAGGTACAGAAGGAATAGCTCTAGTCGGGGATGTAATGTGTGGAGGGGGCTCGAACTGAGCGGCCTCAGAAAAGGCATCTCCATGAAAATCAATGGATACATTGTGATCCGAATTTTCCGATCCACCACCGACAACGTCAAATATTGAGGCGGGTCGAGCGCTGAGAAGCATGCGGATTGGTCGGAGCAGGTTGATATGAATACGCACTTGGCCTTCGCAATCGCGAGACGAGGGTTTGTCCAACTGGATAAAAGGAATAGGAAAGAATCAAGATGAGAGGAAGTACATTTATAAAAGAGGTAAACAATGATTAAAATTTAAAATGAAATCAAAAACGAATTTAAAGTAAAATAGACGAATGA